AGGCCCCGCCCCTTAAAATCAGACGTTGAATGAGCACAGAGAAACTTTCCACTTTCAGCAGATGAATGTGAAAACATCCTTCTACTGTCACACTCTGCACATACAGCATTCAAACATCACACTGTAGGAACAAAAAGAACAACTGATTTCTGACTGGAGGAGAGCTCTAAATTCAAGTTTAAGTTTAATTGTCCCATATAATCATACAGGCACAATCATAGTGAAATGTGTTTCCATAAGCTCCTACAATGTGTTTAGGCAATGTCCTAGTGTAAGATTTAATTTGTGTAACCTTTCCTCTTATTCTCAGACCATTATAGTTGATATGGAGAAGGTGATTCAGTTTTATTGCATTTAAACACATCTGCTGTCAACTGTTATTAAACAGATGCTTTGTAAACACAGCTGGGGGTCTCTGGAGTTCTCTACAGCTCAACTTTATCAAATAAGAACAAGAATGTTCCATCTGTGCTCCTCAACCAGACAGACATCTGCAGATCAAACTGAACTCTTCCTAAGCTCTGTGACTCTGCTGCACAGGTTAACCGCAGCTTCCGTGTGGAACAATTGATTCTCTGTCTCCTGTCAAGGTTCCCTCTTCTGATAGCTGCTCGCCTGTATTTAACATGTCTGCTTATCTCTGTGTCCAGCTTTATGTTGGCAGGGGGTAGTTAAAATCATGCCAGCTGCTGCACTGTCTGGAAGGCAACACAGTGTAGGCTCTACGTGTGAGACACTGCAGATTGACAGGAGGAACGGAAATGTCTGGCTGGTAGATGCAGATTCATGTTGGATAACAGAAGCAATTCATCATGCATTGCTTCATGTGCTGACAGTCTGAGCTTGGCAAGTCCTCAGACAGGGTGAGAACGCTGTCTAATAACTGGGTGGTGCTGATGACACGTTCAGTTGGCACCCGCTACATGAGCTTTACAAATTTACATACACAGGATTCATGTTGAACAGTTATTTTTGATCTAGGATAACTATGCAGTGACTAAATACTAACAAAAATTATTAATAAATAATGTAAATAAATAACTTTTTGAAACTTTCACTATATCCTGACAGTAGTACATGAAACAGAGAATCTGTGAAAAAATCAAGTTCTTCTGGCTCCTCATAGTGCTCCTAATGGTATTTGCCATACCGTGCATCTGTTCAATACATTAGCCTGGCAATAAAATCTTTTATTTAACTTACTTACTTACTTTAACTTAAGTTTATAATATTGTGTGTTTGCTGACAGTGTTTAGTAGACCTGACTGATTCAATTTAGTAAAAATACATAAGCTGTAGGTGGTGCTGAGTTTGTATTGGATTTTGTCCACTGCTATAACATACATGATGGGAACAGGATACATGGACAAAATTATGAATTTGGACCCCAGATGTGTCCAAAGGTCCATGAAATCCACAAATCTACTCTTAGATTTGTAATAAAACCTATATTTTTTTGCCACATATATCATTTTTTTCTGTCAGTTTACCTTAGTACTACTTTGTGGAAACTGAGTCCTGTGCTGGGCTCTCTGTCCCTAGGTCAGGTTTGCCCTCTGCTGGTATGACTACCAGTTGAAAAAATGAAATATAATTTCATATTTATGTACAATACATTGTAAGAGCAAGCATTGATTGTAAAAAAAAACCAAAAACCCAAACAAAATGACGCAACTATTAAAAATGAGGACCAAGACAACAAAAATAAATACACAAACAAACAAATACACATGCTTTTCCAGGTTTTTGTGGAAGAGACACTTGTTGTATCAGTAGGGGGCGCTGTTACATTTGCTCTGCACACGAAACACCATTGGACGAGTGTGAAGTTGGCTGGAGATAATGCCGCTTTAATGTAAGCTTCAAAATAAAAGGTTTTAAAAAAAAACCTACTGGCATTTTCAGAACATGTTCCAAAATGACAAATTGTGGTAAAATACATTAAAAATCCCTGCCGCATAGCTTACTTGATTTCATTGTGGTGCTCTTCATTACTGGAAGACTTTTTCGCCGGTAAAGATTTTTATTTTGAAGGTTGTTACAGGATATGATTAGTTGACTTGACAGCGGTGATGAACCCTGAAAAATGAAGCAGCGGTGAAGAGGAAGAAGAAAAGGAACTTGCTTGCTAGCTATCTACTTTAGCAGTCTTCTGGCTTTAGCGTTTTGATAATGGCGCCTTTAGACCTTGATAAGTACGTTGAAATAGCAAGACACTGCAAATACCTGCCGGAAAATGATCTAAAGGTGAGTTTAAGAAGCGAAAATCAACGTAACATCAGGCTAATGTTTGCTAATATCGGTGGAAGCAAACGGGCTGACTATAAGAAGTTTGTTCAACAAGCGTGGCTAATAACTTAACTGCTAGCGTTAGTTATTACTCGGCGACAACTGTTAGCAAAGATAATTGTTAGTTGTAGGCTGGTTAAGTACAAGCGTCATTGATATTAACGTTAGTCCACAAAAATCTCTAAGAGGAGAAGGCTTATGCTACTAATGCTAGCTAGCTAATAGTTAGATGTTAATGGTGCGAAACATGGAAACCACTGCAGCGTAAACCAAACAGTAGCTAACAGCAGTGTGTCGATAGGTTGGTTAACCTTATATCGTTACCCGCTAGAGCTAGCTAACGCTACTTGACGTTGCGATCAAATGTTTAACAGTCAAACTTTGAGTACAAGCTAAATTAAATACCTAACAGGGAAGTAACGTTAGTTCTGTATGGAAGCCGATTTCAGCCAATGTGAAAAATATAATTCTGTTAGTCATTACGATGAGAAACTTCTCAAAATATTGACTCAACGTTAGTACTTCTCCTCTTAATAATTAGAGTTTCTCAATATTTTTAAAATACTTTCTCAAAAGCTTTCTCATTACTTTGACATACTAAGTCAATTTCCACAGAAATTTTGAAAAAAATAATAACAATGTTATTAGTCAACTCATATTTAACTTGTATTGTGTGTTTTGTAGATCAGATGTATCGGGCAGATAATATTGGCCTATCACAGACCTATTGGAATTGTATCGGTACCTGTGTAACGTTATATGTTGTCCGATATGTGCGTTCATGTAAACTGTATTTTTTTCTGCTACAGAGTAAGAGATAAGAGACATCTCTCAGCAATGTCAACCAAAGAATTGGTTTACAATGTAATTATTATTTATTTTAAAATATTCTTTAATAAAGTTACTTCTTTAAAGAGCAGCCTTCGGAGTACATTTGCACAGTCATATTGGTTCAAAATCATTGGTTTATTCGTTTGTATTCATTATTCATCAAACACAAAATCAATGTTAATTTTGAAATATCACGGTTATTGTCAATATCAGTATGGCTACACCCCTAACATAGACTGAATGTTACATACAGTCTGCGTGCTTCATTGTTTCCCCCCCCTCCATGAGACTTCCATAGTTTGTGTCTCAACATGGTCAAGTGCAATATGCAAAATGGAAGCTGCAGTTTTTTGATAAAGGTAAACTGTGTGTCAAACAGCATTATAGTTAAGTGCTACAGTGCTGCAAGGATGCCATGGTCTACAGACACCAAGTACAATAGTTGACCAGTAAGCTTGCGATGTTCGGCTGTTATGATGCCGTATTTTAACAGGATGCCTGTGACCACTAACTGTTGCCATGTTTATTTTTCAGAGATTATGTGATTATGTTTGCGATTTACTGCTAGAAGAATCAAATGTTCAGCCGGTCTCAACTCCAGTTACTGTTTGTGGAGATATTCATGGTCAGGTAGGCCTAACTGATTTTGATTTTGATTTTTTTTTCTAACCCTTCAATTGATGATAAATAACCAGATTTGTCCTTTTAAAAATGACTGAAAAATCACCCTAGAGACTGAGATTCCTGATGTATAATGATTTACTTTTTCTTCAGTTCAAAATGGCTGGTTTAAACCACGTTGGCATAGATAAATGACATGCAAAAAAATGTATTCATAAGAAAAAAGAGAAGTTACTATTTCCAAGAAATATAGTGTTATTATATTGCTAAAACTCTCACTTTTGTCTGATTATTATTATTATTTTTATTTTTTTAACCAAGAATAAATGTTCTCTTTAATGTTCCTGTCCAGTTTTATGATCTCTGTGAGCTCTTCAGAACTGGAGGCCAAGTTCCAGACACAAATTACATTTTCATGGTGAGTAAGTTTTCTCTGTTTATCAACAGAATTAAATATGCCACAATAACGCAGATGCTTTATTTCTTAATGAGTCAATCAACCAACGTGTTGATTTTGGGAAGGAATGCTTCCTTATAATGCAGAACATAAAAGGAATGAATGATGTCTTGAGAAATGCCATGTTAGGGTTATCTTTTCCTCAATCACACAGATATTGTGATGTATTGTATTAGATTGTCTTTCAGTAGATACATATACAGGTTCTCTGCAGGGTCTTAAAAAGTCTAAAATCCAATAATCTGAAATTTAGGCATTAAATATCTTAAATCAGATTTTGACAGGTCTTAAAAATTGATTGAAATTTTTTTTAATGAAGTTTCAATTGCTCATTCTGTAACAACTACAGAACAAAAGATGGAAGCAATACATATTTTTTCTTCATACTTTTTTTTTTTTTTTGAAAAACGAGTTGAAAGTAACTACAGTTATTCTGTACCCAGGTATTACTGTATCCTGACTATGAAATCTTTTGGGGTCTCTCATGGTGTCTTTTTCCCTTTTTCTAGGGAGACTTTGTAGACAGAGGATATTATAGCTTGGAGACATTTACACACCTGCTAGCTTTAAAGGCAA